CCCAGGAGGCAAAGGTTGCAGTGAACCGAGATCATGCCACTGTACTTCAGCCTGGGCAACAGAGCAAGATCCTGTCACACACACACACACACACACACACACACACACACACACACACACACAAATAAAGAAAAGAAAGCGCTAAATGTCCTGTGTTCCTGGGAACCCAAAAATGGTAGGACAGCTGTATTACCAGGTGATACTGCTTATGATAAAAATGACCCGATTGGTAAATAATCTGCATGTGGGCTGGGACTAGAGCGTGGTTAAATAAATTGCTACATCTCTACTCTGGAACTGTCATGATAAAAATGGACTCACACATAAGGATACCTGGGACACTTTTGTCTAAATGAAAAAAAAAAGCCAATTTCAGAAAAGCATAGTAGCAGCATATTTTCATTAAAAACAACCCATGCAAAATTCTGTGGCTTTGTATATATGTAAAACAAAACATTTCTCAAAGGCAAACAGTTAGTAGAAGGGCTGACACTGGGCGCATTTGTTGGAGTGCAGCAGAAAGGGAGGAATGAAAATCAGTCCTGTTTTTCCTGGCTTGAAAACTGGGAAAGTAAACATAGTTTTGAATGGCATCATATTTTTTCTGTATGAATTACCAGCCTTGGCCAGGCGCAGTGGCTCACGCCTATAATCCCAGCACTTTGGGAGGCCAAGGCAGGCGGATCGCCTAAGGTCAGGAGTTCAAGAATAGCCTGGCCAACATGATAATACCCTGTCTCTACTAGAAATACAAAAAATTAGCTGGGTGTGGTGGCAGAACCTGTAATCCCAGCTACTCAGGAGGCTGAGGCAGGAGAATCGCTTGAACCCGGGAGACAGAGGTTGCAGTGAGCCAAGATCATGCTATTGCACTCCAGCCTGGGCGACAGAGTAAAACGCCGTCATTCATTAATTCAAGAATAAATAAATAAATAAATAAATAGCCTGCCTCATCTTTTTGACTCCTTTCTACCACATTTTTTTGGTCTTTTTAAAATCACTGTTCATATTACATCCTCTGCGTATTATTTGCCTTGCATGTATTTTCTCTTGGCCTCAAATATGTCTTCTGACTCTGCAGTTTTTAACATTTTAATATAGTCTAATCTGACAATCTTTATGACTTCTGAGTTTTCCTTCTTTATTAAAAATGTTTTTTCCAGGGCTGGGTGTGGTGGCTCATGCCTGTAATCCCAGCACTTCGGGAGGCTGAGGCAGGCAGTTCAGTTGAGGTCAGGAGTTCAAGACCAGCCTGGTCAATAGGGTGAAACCCCATCTCTACTAAAAATACAAAAATTAGTCAAGCATGGTGGCGCACACCTGTAGTCTGAGCTACCTGGGAGGCTGAGGTGGGAGAATTGGTTGAACCCGGGAGGTGGAGGTTGCAGTGAGCCAAGATTGCACCACTGCACTCCAGCCTGGGCCACAGAGGGAGACTCCACCTCAAAAAAAAAAAAAATGTTTCTTGCACTGCAGAAAGTTATACATATATCCTCCTAAATTTTTACCCAATTTTTCAAATAGATATTTAGGTCTTCATCCAATCTAGAATTCACTAGGCGAGTCTTTGTTTCCATACAGAGATTCAACTGTGCCACCATCATTCAGTAACCACTTTTTCCACATAACTGAAATGCCATTTTTATAATCTTGGCTCACAGAATCCTATAGAAGCAATACAAAAAATCTAGAAGCCACAAAAGATTGTGAAATTAGACCACATTAACAAAATGTAAGTGTCCATGCCCCAAAATGAATAATAAGACAAGTCAAATCAAATGACGTAGAAAAAATATCTGTAACATATATGACAGAGATCTTATTTACTTGTGTTAACATAAAGAGCCAATATCCTGCAATCAAATTAATTCCACGCCCAAGAGAAAAGGGGACAAATGACTAGAATAAATAATTGAAATAAAGAAGTACAAATGGTGATTTAAAAAAATGAAAAGAAGACCAGGCACAGTGGCTTACACCTGTAATCTCACCACACTGGAAGGCTAAGGTGGGAGAACTGCTTGAACTCAGGCACTGGAGAACTGCCTGGCCCACACAGTAAGATTTCAGCTCTACAAAAATTGTAAAATTAGCCAGGTATGGTGGTATGCACCTGTATTCCCAGCTACTTGGGAGGCTGAGGTAGGAGGACTGCTTGAGCCTGGGAGGTTGAGGCTGCAGTGAGCCATCATCACACCACTGCACTCCAGCCTGGGCAACACAGCAAGACTCTGTCTCAAAAAACAAACAAATAGCCCAGTGCAATGGCTCCCACCTGTAATCCCAGCACTTTGGGAGGCTAAGGCAGGTAGATTGCTTGAGCTCAGGAGTTAAGAGACCAGCCTGAGCAACATGGCGAAACCCCATCTCTACAAAAAATACGAAAATTAGCCAGGTGTGGTGGCGCACACTTGTGGTCCCAGCTGCTCAGGAGGCTGAGGCAGGAGGATCACCTGAGCCTAGGTAGTCGAAGCTGCAGTGAGCTGTGATCATGCCACTGTACTGTAGCCTGGGTGACAGAGTGAGACCCTATCTCCAAAAAACAAACAAACAAAAAATATCAAAAGACACCAAATTCAGCAAATGTGAATTAAAATGCACCACTCTTCTCATGCATCATGGCAAAAATCAAAGCACTGGATAATGCACTCTGATTGCCTATTTATGGGAAAAGGCATATAGTGCTGCTAGGAGTACACATCAGTATATTCTATTTGGAGGGCAATTTGACAGTTCTGAATCAAAATTCATGATGTACATAAAGCTGACCTAGAAATCTCATATCTGGCATACTCACATGTAGGCAACAGAATGTACTGTACATTGCTATGCTGTTTATAGCAGGAAAAGACTAGAAATACCTTAAATGTTTTTTTCATTGACCACTGGTGATCACTGAAATGTTCATCACTAGGAGAAAGGTAAATAAATATTGGTGTCTCCATGCAATGAAATACCGAGCACCTGCTTTTGCAAACAAGGTAGACCACTGGTTTAAACATTGGATAATTCTGTCCCCTAGGGGATATTTGCCAATGACTAGAAACACTTTGGTTGCCAAAACTGAGGGAGGGATTCTACCAGCACCTAGTAGAGATAGAGGCGAGGGACCCTGCTACACATACAATGCACAGAAAAGCAGCAACAACAAGTTATGGTCGGAATCACAATGACAATAGTGCCGCACTGAGAAACCCGAGGGACAACTAAATACAAGTAAAGTGGAATGATCATGAAGACAAGACCAAAAGGACCAGAATGAGCTCGAATTTGTTAGAGAAGGAGTGTGAGAGTGAGAGCTAGCACTTACCGGAGTGAGCAGAAAAAGAGATTCATACATCCAGACAGATAAGCATATATATTCTCTGAAAAACTGTACCAAAAAAATGAAGGTGTCTTGAGGATGGGAGAATTATTTTTTGTCTTTTCTTGAACAAAGCTTTCATTTGATTTTTTACCATGTGTATGCATTACTTTTAAATGTTCAATTTATTAGTGCTCTATTCAGACTATTTTTTAATTTTTGACATCCATATTCTTAAGGGAAACTGGTCTATAATTTTCTTTTTTGTAGTATCTTCCTCAAACTTCAGGTTAAGTGGCTTCCCAAAATGAATTAGGTGCCTTTTCATCTTTAATAGACTGGAAAAGTGGAACATAGAAATTATCTGGTCTTTACGTTTAGTGAAAGGAGTAATTATGAAGGATTTCAGAGGGCAAATTTAAGTGTCAGTACCTTTTAGTCAAAATCTGACTTCCAGGTATAACCTCCATAAACACTGGTACTACAGAGCAAGCAGATACAGAGAAAGTTGTTCATGAGGCATGGTTTACAATAGTAAAAAGAAATTAGGCCGGGTGTGGTGGCTCACACCTGTAATCCCAGCAGTTTGGGAGGCCGAGGTGGGTGGATCACCTGAGGTCAGAAATTTGAGACCAACCTGGCCAACATGGTGAAATCCTGTCTCTACTAAAAATACAAAAATTAGCCGGGTGTGGTGGCATCTGCCTGTAATCTCAGCTACTTGGGAGGCTGAGAAGGAGAATCATTTGAACCCGGGAGGCAGAGGTTGCAGTGAGCCGAGATCACACCACTGCACTCCAGCCTGGGCAACAAGAGCAAAACTCTGTCTCAAAAAAAAAAAAAGAAAAAAAGAAGAAAGAAAGAAAGAAGAAAGAAAGAAAGAAAGAAAGAAAGAAAGAAAGAAAGAAAGAAGAAAGAAAGAAAGGAAAGAAGGAAAGAAGGAAAGAAGGAAAGAAGGAAAGAAGGAAAGAAGGAAAGAAGGAAAGAAGGAAAGAAGGAAAGAAAGAAAGAAAGAAAGAAAGAAAGAAAGAAAGATAGTTACATGGTTAACATCCATATCATGAAATAGGAATTAAAACAGTCTTTATATATTGACGAGGAACACCACCAAGGATATAATCAGGTGCAAAAAGCAAGATGAGTATGGGAGTACGATGCCATTTGTGTAAAAGCATAAAAAATAATGCATATGTGTATATTTTTAGTTCATTAAACTGACATAAATACATCTACCCCCACAGTTTCACCCAACTGTTAATAGTGGGCATCTCTCAGGAGGAACATGGCATTGCGGGGAGAAGAAATAGAAACTTTATTGGCTACTAGCTTCTTCTATGCACATTAAAACATTATACATAAACTTACTCTCTTAAACATAGTAAAAAAAAGACCAAGTGATCTAGAAGTGAAGAAAGGGGAAAAAGCAAGATGAATCTATGTATTTAAACAATCTTCTCTGAGGGGAAGAAGAAAAGATGAGGTACAGTTCCCGGAAGAACAAGTAGAGAGAGGTATCTTTTTCTGTTTTTCCTCTCTCCTGGTAAGGGGAAGGATTAGAGAAACCAGAGGCTGAGGAGAAGCTGAACAGAAAACAGCCAGAGAAGAGGGGATAATTGGTATTTTCAAGTTTATTATACAGATTCCAAACCCTGCCTCAATTTCACTGGAAAAAAACTAGGGGTACATTAGAACTCACCTGGGATGTGGCCATTCTGTTGTGCTCCTCCAAAGGATGGAGATCTACAAAGGCAGAATTCAAAGTGTTGAGTTCAGTGGGTATAGACTTAAGACCATCACCACCACCCTAATAATTACCTTTGCACCCTGGGAAGAATGATCTAAAAATAAGGCCTGGTAGCTTCCACCTATTCCCATGGGATGCTACTAAGATCATGTGGGTTTTGCACATAAAATTTTGTCTCCCTTACTGGACAGATGTATGACTTGTATCCAAAGCCATGTCGGAAACCAGTAACAACTTAACATCTCCTTTATCTCAAGAATTCCATTCCTAGCACAAAGATGCCAAATGTTCACTGTTGTCATTTCCACTATGAAAAATCCACCTATAATCCCTGCATACTGGGAGGCTGAAGGAGGACTGATTGAGACCAGGAGTTCAAGACCAGCCTGGGCAACACAGCAAGGCCTTGTCGTTACAAAACTAAAAATTAAATTAAAATATTAGCTGGCATGGTGGTGCATGCCTGTAGTCCCAGCTACTCAGAAGGCTGAGGTAGGAGGGTCTCTTGAGCCCAGGAGTGCGAGGTTACAGTGAGCCATGATCACATCCCTGCACTCCACCCTGTGTGATGATGTCAAAGCCCAGCTCAAAAATAAACAAAAAGTAAAAAAACACTTGGAAGCAACTAAATGTGCAACAAAGGGGACTCAGTATAAAATATGACACATGCCAACAAGCATACTACACGGGCTTTAAAGATGCTTTCTGAACTCTGTTTTCAGTTCCTAGGTGTTTAACAGGAGGTTCCAAGAAAGCAGCAGCATTGGGATCTCATTTTTGTTAAGCAATATGTACAAATACAATGTTTCAAACAGATTTATTCTTTTTTTTTTTTTGGAGATGCAGTTTTGCTCTTGTTGCCCAGGCTGGAGTACAGTGGCAGGATCTCCGTTCACTACAACCTCCGCCTCCCAGGTTCAAGCAATTCTCCTACCTCAGCCTCCCAAGTAGCTGGGATTACAGGCATGCACCGCTGCGCCCAACTAATTTTTTTGTACTTTTAGTAGAAATGGGGTTTTACCATGTTGGTCAGGCTGGTCTCGAACTCCTGACCTCAGGTGATCCACCAACCTCAGCCTCCCAAAGTGCTGGGATTTCAGGCCTGAGCCACCTCATCTGGCCTCAAAACAGCATTTACTCAAATACTGATGACATTGGTTACCTTGATCGATTTCAATTTTCTTGCTTATTTGCATTTTTGATAACAAATATCAATTACTAATGAAACAAAAATTAAAAAGTATTAAAAATCACCTCTTATCAAACAGAACCCTAGAGGTGAAAAGACCCTCTGCAAGTATGTATGAGTAGGATCTCTGGATGTGGTTTGGAGAAAGGAGCCCAACCACGGCTCAGAGGGCTGCAAGGGAGGTGCGGTGTGCAGGTGGGTGGGTAGCAGCCCAGCAGCGTCAGTTCTGTGAGGGGCTGAAAACCACTGTGCCTGCTCCCCTGCATCCGCCTCTCTAACTGGCCACCTACTCTGTTCCCACCCCACCACTTCCTCCTTTCTCATAATCTGCGTTTTGATTGCCAGGCCCCTTCTTTGGCAGTTTTTCAAAAGAAAGTTCCAGGAAGGAGCTTCTGTGCAGAGTAACCGTTTCATTCTGCAGCAATCACTGTGACAGCATCAGGACAACAGGGTTCATCCGTGTAGGTTAACAGGTCATGTCTTCAGATCCAGTTTCATTAAGCATCGAAATAAGGCAGCAGAGCTGGATGACAGCATACCTAGAGACTACTCTGAAATTCTATAAACTAAAAATATATTTTCTGCACTTTGGTCAGGATGGAGGGAGACTCAGCAAGCAGGTGGAAGCAGGTGCCTGGTTGATGGTGTGGGGCCAACTCAAATTGAGAAACAGCCAATGGCAAGAGAATGGGTGTGCTAGGAGAGGCCAAGTCCTCTGTGGCTGGCTGTGATCCTTCCCAGCCTCATCCTGCCTTTGCAGGTACCACAGCAGGGCACCTGCCCCATGGAGGGCATCCATGCCTCCATCCACCTGTGATTTTCACCTGTCCCTCCTCCAGCAGGAATCAAACTGCATGGTCACATGGTCCTCAATGGCACCTGGAACCTGAGCCAGCTTTGCTCTGTCTCAGCTGAAGGGAGGGACAAGGCTGCTATGGGTCCTGCTCTTCTAGGACCTGCTGTATTGTGAGCCTCCTTTCTCTGCCCTGAGGATCTAGGTCTGGGCTCTGACTGAGGCTTCTCCTCCAACTTGCCTCAGCTCAGCATACCTCTCAGGACCAAGGGATTCAGAGACAAACCCGTCCCAGCTGGGACCATCACTGTAGCACTGGATCTCTGCCTGTGACCCAGCGAACTCACCTCCTCCTGGGGCCTCAGCCTAAGTCTTCTGAGACTAAGTCAGGAAGCCGGAGCACAGATAAACTGGAGTTTGAAGTCCGTGAGCAGTAGTTTCAGGTCTGCACTCTGACCCTGAAAACACAATGACCACAGGAGATTCAATTAGCAACACTTATGCTCCCTTCATGCAGTGAAGTTGGGTAAAACACAGATTTTTACGCAACGGAGGGACAATGTCTCATTCTAGCTTTAAGGGTTAATATTCATGCACAGCTCAATTATCCTCAGTGAGCGAAACCCTGCCTTCCTGAGTCCGGGCTTTGCAACCAACTGATTGCCTGCTGTGCCACTTTTATTCATTGAAGAAATGAGTGCCTTCCATTTGCCTGTTCTCCGTGTTGGAAATCCATCAATGAACAAAATCTCAAAATCCCAGCTCCAGATTTCTAGTCTGGCAGAAGAGACACACAGGAAACAATAAACATGATAAACAAAGTACAGGAAAAGAAAAAGAGAAAGGATCCCTAGTGTTTGCTACCTACGTGACTTCGGACAGGTTGCCGAGCTACACCGTGTCGTTTTCTCTCTATAACATGAAAATAATCATCGTAACACCTCACAGGGTTCCTGTGAAGGTTAATGTGAAACATCTGCAGGAGCGCCTGGCAGTTACTAGGCGGTGAGAATACAAGCGCTGAGTGACTCAGTCAATTAGTCGCTGGCCCTGAACCTCGCCCCCAACACTCACGCCCACCGCCAGTGTCACTCAACCCCCACAAGGGCGCTCACCCGTGGCCCCATAACCCCGCGGCCCCGTAAACCCGTCATTGCTTCCGCCCGGCGATCAAAACCATCACTATCTCCCCGTCCCGCTTACTTCACCGCCAAGAGGTTGACACCTCAGAGACAGACGACAGCAGCCAGTGTCAACGAAGCGCCGGTCTCCGGGTCAGCCGAGCACTTCCGCTTCCCACCGCTCCCTGGGAATCGCAAAACAATGCGCAGGCGCAGTGGCTTGGAGGCGGGACAACACGGCCTTTGGCCAATAGGGCGCTCCTCAGGGCCCGAGCTTCAGTATTTATGACAGTGTGCGCTCTAAGGGGAGAAGGAGCGTGTGACCATTTCCAGCGGTGAGTCGTACAAAAGGGGCGGCGTACCTGGGAGACAGGGCGGCGAGAGGCGAGCGAACTCCTCGCGGGCGTTTCAGTGGCCAGGCTCCTGGTGGCTCGGAAGCCGCAATCCCTTCTTCCACTTCAATCTCTTGCGGTGGACGCGGGGTGTTCCCACCCCTCTGTCCCCAAGGCCACTGTTTCTGCCTTCCGCTCCTGGGAATAGGAAAAAGAGTTGCGCCTCTGGCATCAGTGGCGTCTCCTGAGCGCGGCCCTGTAGGGTCCAGGCAGGCCATACGGAGCGGGGCCCTCGGCCTGGCTCACAGCGTCCTAAGAACAAGGGGTCTGGCACAGTCGGGAAGTGACCTGGAAGAAGGGAATTGGAGCCGGGCTTCAGAGCCAGCAACCTCCCGGAGTGAGGGAAGAAAGCCTCATTTTGATTGTTCTCTACCCAGTGGAGGGGATCCGGTTGCTAGGATCTTAGACACCCTGAGAGAATCTACCCAGTGGAGTGGGTCCGATTCCTAGGATCTTAGACACCTGTTTTTTACTTTTTAGCGGAGAGGTGCTTTCTCTGGGAATGCCAGTCAGTGGCAACATGGTCTGCTGAAAAGGCCTGTAGTGGCCTTGAGGAAAGTTCTGTTCCCTGTCTGGGTCTGGGAGAAAGAGACCAAGTGTGTTCTCCATGCTTACTATGCCTGCCTGGTCACCAAGCAGGCCTCCTTGGGTCAAGTATGGCCGAGTCTCCCTCAGGTACACAGCAGGCCTTTCTGTGCTGGAGCCAGCTGGTGCCAGACACTGTTCATAGATGTGTCCAAGACGTTTGTGGAATCTGTCAGATACATACTTAATTTCCATTTAAACATGGGTCTTTTTCCTCTTTGTCTTCTCAGGTTAACTCGCATTCCCCAGATAAGTTTGGATGAGTTACAGCCCAAATCTGCAAACTCAATACAGCCAAATCCTGGGAAGTAACCCTGTCCAAGCATCCTGTACAAGTCCCAGGAAAAGAGCTTGTTGTCCCTTGGACATGTGAGCAGTGAATTACCACTCATTCAGAATTTCATGTGCATCTGTTACTCAAGGCCAGGTTTAGAGATACCAACCTATTTATTTCTAGAGGAGAGGTGATCTGATAACCTCTTGAGACATCACTATCACTAGGCAGGAAAGGGTTAATGGTATGACAGTGTCCTGAGGACAGCAGAGAAACTGCAAACTGCAGAAGCACCTGGTCGGTGGCCCTGGCCAGCATCTCTCCATATCCTGATTCTGTAAGACCCAAGTGTTTCTGCAGAAAGAGAAGGGACTGGTGTTTTAGATGTGACCAGATGTAGGGCACACTCTTATTGCCATGCCAGCATTTGCTATTCATGATGTTAGTATTCAAAAATCAAGAAACACTCTGCCTGGGCCATTGGTGTCTACTAATCCATTGGAAGAGACGACTGGAATCCACCATTTACTAGCTTCTTAGGTCTCAGTCCCCTCTTTTCTGCCATAGCTGAGGACCACCTATCCTAGATGGCTGCTGTTATTGTTCAAAGAAACGTCTTTAGAGCCTCAGCCCAGGAATAGCCCATGGCAGGCACCTGGTAAATGTTGGTTTTCACTGTCCTCTCCTAACACTGTGAAACGTGCAGCACTCTCTGCTACTGCCCTTGTGGATTTCCACAGGCAGGAGAGTATCCAGTGTTGAGTGGAGCTGGTATCCTCAGAAACAAAGCCCCTTTCCTCATTTTGTGCCAATCTCTTCAGTCATTTTTATCTTAGTAGTATAGTGCTTTGTCAAAGTCACTGTTATCTAATGTTAACAGTTGTTTTTGCCAGATGACTTTTCAAAAGGTAATGTTACCATAATACCAGTTAATGTGATAAGAACATTGCACGTAGCCAAATATATAATTTTTTGAGGAGTTTTTTCTCTTGTTGCCCAGGCTGGAGTGCAGTGGTGTGATCTTGGCTCACTGCAACCTCTGCCTCCCGGGTTCAAGTGATTCTCCTGCCTCAGCCTCCCAAGTGGCTGGAATTACAGGCACACACCACCACGCCAGTCTAATTTGTTTGTATTTTTGGTAGAGACAGGGTTTTACTATGTGTTGGCCAGGCTGGTCTCGAACTCCTGACCTCAGGTGATCCGCCTGCCTCAGCCTCCCAAAGTGCTGGGATTACAGGTGTGAGCCACCGTGCCCAGCCAAATATTGTCTTTATTTATTTATTTTAGAGACAGGATGCCATTTTGTTGCCCAGACTGGAATGCGGTGGCTATTTACAGGTGTGATCATAGCATACCATAGCCTGGGCTCAGAGAACCCTGCCGCCTTCACCTCCTGAGTAGCTGGGACAAGTGTGCACCACCATGCCTGGCTAATTTTTAAATTTTTTGTAGCGATAGAGTCTGGCTATGTTGCCCATGCTGGTCTAGAATTCCTGGACTCAAGTCCTCTTCCTGTCTTCAGCCTTCCAGTGTCAGGATTACAGGGTGACCCACACACCCAGCCAGTGTGAATTTTCTAATGCTGAGTAAGTTGTGATCCAGAAGTAAATGTATCTGCAAGCTGATTTAAATTGTAGATTTTCTCTTCATTGTGTATTTTCTGATGTTGAAGAAAGTCTGAATATTAACCAAAGTTTTCCCTTTTTCTTAAATATGTAGGAATTATCCTCAAAATCTCTATAGCAAAAATATTTTTACGTACATTGTATTTCAAGGGTTTTTATTCTGCATAAGCAACCTTGTTTTATTGTGACTAAATTTATTTGGGAATTTTATCATATATATAATACTGAGATGTTCTAATTCCTTTTGTGAAAATGCTCTTGTTTAAAAACCACTGCCTTCAAATGAAAGCCATTAGGTTTGCTAAATGTGCCTCCTCTTTTCTCCATGTTTTTCTTTCATTTTTTAAAAAACATGTCTTTATTTTTTTATACCTAAAACAGTGGGTTTTAAAAATGTGATATGTGTATGCATTGTGTAATGATTACCGCAATTGACTAATACATCCGTCACCACCCATACCGTACCTTAGATCTGCAGAACTTGTTAGTCTTAGAGGTGTTTTTACCTTTTAGGTCGGACATAGTGGCTCACGCCTGTAATCCTAGCACTTTGGGAGGCCAAGGCCAGTGGATTGGCAGAGCTCAGGAGTTCAAGACCAGCCTGGGCAACATGGTGAAACCCTGTCTCCACTAAAAATACAAAAAATTAGCTGGGCGTGCTGGCACATACCTGTAGTCCCAGCTACTTGGGAGGCTGAGGCACAAGAATCATTTGAACCCAAGAGGCAGAGGTTGCAGTGAGCTGAGATTGCACCACTGCCCTCCAACCTGGGCAACAGAGCAAGACTCTGTCTCTAACAAGAACAACAAAAAAGAATGTTTTTACTTTTTGACCAACATCTTCCCATTTCCTGCCTCACACCCCTGCATCCCCATTTCTTGGTAACCACTGTTCTACTCTCTGTTTCTATGAGTTCAACTTCTTTAGATTTCACCTTTAAGTGAGCTCATGCAGTATTTGTCATTCTGTGTCTAGTTTATTTCATTTAGCATACTATCTTCCACGTTCCTTTTTCCCTCAGTGTCTCGAGTCCACCTTTGCATTATCACTTTATTTTCTGAAATGAAAATGGTATTGTGGCTACTATGTATGAATATCCTAGCTAGATACCAACTATGGGCTTTATAGTATCTGGATTAGCTGTAATGTACATGTGAATGATGACTACTGAAATATATATAGTAGGAAAATTGATGCACTTCAAAAAGCAATAACACAACTACAAATAAGCCTAAGAAAGTTGGACATCATCTATATAAAGGAAAATAAACTGTACTCCTTAGTGAAGACTTAATACTGTAAAACCCAGATTGTCCCTAAACCTAATCCATAGATTTAAGGCAATTTAACCAGTATGCTAAATGGGATCAGGGGCCTATAGTACAATGATTCATTTTAATTGGCAAAAAAAAAAAAAAAAAAAAAAATACATGAACCATGAATAGTATTTGGTGGATAGAGGTAACATGGGAAAACTCATCTTACAAGATACTAGAGGGCATTATAAACTAAAGTAAATCCTGTGGCATAGAGCAGAATTAAAGAGATCACTGAAACTAAAAAAAATCCAGAATCGGAATATATGGAATGTGGAGTCCCGATAATCAAGCAACCAGAAGGAAGGGGTCCCAGGTGAGAGAGAACAATTGTTCTACAGATGGCTAATCGCAAACCTGCTGGCAAATATCCTGTTCCTGAATACCTCCTTCTGCAGTAGCCTCTCCAGGACAACCTTATAAAACTTCCCACCAGTCCCTGCCTCTGTGCAGATAGCCCTTTCTCTGCTGTGCTACCCATTGAACCCTTGCAATGTATCTTCATACTTTCCCTGATAAATCTGCCTTTCTTCACCTATGACTGTTTTGGTAAAATTCCTTTACTGTCCACACCATCCCCACCCAGTCGCACCCAGGACATGGAAGACTAAAGGTCTGAAGTTTAGCTTAAAAAGTGTGAAAAAATAAGTTGAGAGGGGCCAGGCACGGTGGTTCACGCCTATAATCCCAACACTTTGGGAGGCTGAGGTGGGAGGATGGCTTGAACCTAGGAATTTAAGACCAGCCTGGGCAACATACGAAGACCTCATCTCAATCAAAAAAAAAAAAAAAAAAAAAAAAATCTGGGCATCTTGGTGTGTGCCTGTAGTCCCAGCTACTTGGGAAGCTGAGGTGGGAGAGTCACTTGAGCCCCAGAAGTTGAGGCTGCAGTGAGGCATGATCATGCCATTGCACTCCAGCCTGGGAAATAGGGTGAGACCCTGCTGCAAAAAAAAAATTATAAACCTACTTAA